TGTGTTTATGTATGGTATGGACATGTTTCATCCCGATTGGAAATGTATAGCTTGTAATGACTTGTTAACAAATTCTTGTTACATAGCGAAACATTGAAATTCAACAGTCCGCCAAGCACAAACGGTTCAACAAATTCAAAAATACTTCATAATTTAACATTGCAGAGGCTTTTAGATGAAACTGCCAGAGTGTGATGGTGATCACATGCAATATCTAGGAGGAGTTCATTTAAATACAAAGCGTGAAATTTTACTAAATGACTTCTTGACAGTTTTGGAAAATTGCTTCAATGGACTTCTGCGTTTTCGCAATAGAGCTCTGTAATTTCCGTTTACGCTATGGCTACATTCTAGAGCCTCTGTCACCAGGATCTCTCCAAGATTAACATCATGATGTGCTTTGAATGTGCAAAAAGTATCTGGAAAGGGGATTTAAAACATACACAACATGAGTGTCGTGTATCTGTCTACTGTCTTTTTAAGGATATAAACACACCTTTCCTGAAAATGTTCTCCTAACTCCAATACAATGGAATAGAAACTGGAACACGGCGAGGGCTATTACTTCGGGGCAGAAGTGCGTCAAAAGTCTATGTGCAAGTAGTACATTGACTAATTTGCAGGCCTTACATAAGTGTACCAAATGTTCTTATACAAAAGCAGAAATGGCAAATTCCATGTTGCCACTAGGTTGCGCTACAGCTGACACTGTATGCTGCTATATAGATTAATTTAGATAGGGAGTCTTAACACGCATGCCAATTTTGAGCCCTATCGGACATTGCATGGCTGAGGAATTTCGACTTTTGACGGCTAACGTCAAGTCAAAAAAGCTTCGCAATTTAGCACCACATCTGCTTTAAGATAAGACTGATGGAGTTTAGAGATTAATCTCTAGGAGGAGTCTGTTAAAGTAAAACATGAGCAAAAGTGGCCATTTTACTTAAATTTAAGTCTTTGTAAACTACGCGTCTGCCAAATTTCATTCCTTTACAACAAACTGTTGCAACAAAGGCTGAAAAGCGTTAGGTGGCTATATAGAGCCACTTTTCCACTCCCATTTTTCAAACCCCTATCAGACGCAAATTTTCACATTTCAGTTTCTAACGTGTGTGTGCGTGTGTGTGCGTGTGTGTCCGTGTGAGCTTTTTTAGACCCTCAAAATTGTGCAGAAAGCCTTGAGACAGTATAACTCTTAAGTTAGTGGTTCCCAAACTTTTTCCAGCTGCGTACCACTTTAGACACCTCAGCCTCATTTGAGTACCCCCTGCTACCAATGACTAAATAAGTGACTATAAATAGATTACAAAAAATGTCTAATAAATACTGAACAGTTCATTATTTTTCAGTATTTTTGAGATGCATTATAAATAACAAATTTTTCAAGCATCAGGTTCTGTTTCATACGTGAAACGATCATCTCTCTGTTTAATGTGATGGATTTTATTTGGTAGAGACACATAGAGATCTGTGCTTTTACTCATTTCTCATTTTCATAAATAAATAAATAGTAAAATGAAAAAAAGATGTCTTGTTTTATTGATTTTAAATAAATGTATATTACACTAATAAGTATATTGATGGAGAAAACAGAGACAGAAAAACAGAGTAATACTTTTGAATTGCCACAGTCTGTCTGTGTCACTGTCTTTCTCTCTCGAGCTTATTTTTTAAAAATTTTTTTACTCAGTATTTGGAGCTTTATGTCTTGAGATCTCTCTGTATGTGGTGTGGGATCTCTCTCGTTTAAATCAATTCATTTGGCACAAATATGGAGCTTTTCCAAAACATAGAAATATTGGGAAAACAGGCTAATATTTTAATTTAAAAGAAATAATTGTCACAGTCTTGGTCTTTCAGTGGTGTCGCAGTGCAGGCGCGTACCTGGAGAGAAAAAGTGTCACAACTTCATCCCAACAACCCCCCTTTAATTTTTTTTGGACTTGTTTCCCTTTGCATAAAAAATAGAAATAATCCTAAAAATAATGTTTTGTATGTTCCTTGCTTTAATGATGAATGAATGTCAGTGTTCCTTCCTTCTGCGTCATGCTCTTCACTTCTTCAGGGTGAGGCAGTTCCGCACAAGAGCACGAAAATTCACTATGACCTTGTGCCTGTAAATTGTTTTAAATTAATTTTATTCATTGTTGTTCATTTTGTGGAGTTGATAACTGTTTCTTTGTAGTGGAATAATTAGATATTTTCATTTTGTGAGAGTCCAGCGAATGGTTAATTCTGTATCAAATCCACTCATCAAATTTTGTCCCGTTATACTTAGCTGGAATAAAGGTCTCTAGTCTCTTCCAAAATAAGCGACTGATGTAGCATGGCGGGGGCGGGGATGGGGGTGGACATCTGCTTCATTATATTGTAAAAAGTCAGTCACACCGTGACATTCAATAACCAACAATTTATTCATAATAATAAATACAGGCAATTTTTGTATGAAATGGCCGAATAAAATGCCAGGGAATGCAGGACTCTAGCGCACAGAGTTTGGTTCAGTTTGAGAAAGGCTGAATCTGAAATAGATTTAAAGTCTCTGCATTTTGTTTCATGTTTGTTAAAGCAGAAGCACATTCACAGAGAGGCTTGTGCTGGAGAAACTCATCAGAGGTTCTGATTCACTCGTAGCGGGCGCATAGAGATCTTTGTGCTGTACCAGTTTGAATATAGTTTCCAGGAATCTGCTGGAGTCTTCTGAGTTTATTAAGCTTTTATCCAACAGTGGTGATCCCTCTATATTGCTGTACTGGTCAGACAATAACAATGAAGTTTTCTTAGTGGTGAATGTGTAACTGCGTCATCGGCTCCTCAAGGTGCGCGTGACCGTCATTCTTTAAAAAAAAAAAAGTTATGATTGTTCCTGCCATTCTCTCGCGTACCCTTTCGGGCCTTTCCCATAGCCCTGGGTGTACACGTACCACCATTTAGGAACCACTGCTCTAAGCAATTACAATAGGGTCCAATGGGCCTCTACAAAAGTTCTGTACCAACTGGAAGCATCCTGTAGTCAGATTTCAGACTGGAATAGGACTTGATAAGAAACTTGAGTTTCCCCCAAAAACAGTGGCTGCAACATTCTAGCCAGACATGGTCTCCAGCAACAAAGCTGATATTTATTGTGGAATTATTGTACTGTATCATGACACAATATCACAAAAATGGCTGAAAAGCCAGTGTTTTCCACCACCAGTTTTGGAAAATAGGAGTAAAAAGTCACTCTTCAGGCATCAAGTCCATATCAAGCATTGCTGAAGGACCACTGTTGAGCCTTCTGGATACACTGTGGGCCTCAATCAATGAAATGTTAAAGGAAGATTCCCACCTGCGGACCCCATTGAAACGTTTCACCATTTCTAACCACTCCACACCAGCTGCTACGATCAAGATCTTGAGGGGATGAAATATCTAGCTTTACTAATATGGATACGTAGTGAGGTCTGCTCACTTGTGGAGGTGTTGTCAGGAGTCCCTAAGCCGTTATCAGCTCCTCTATCAGGCTCTTCTAGACCCAAATACTCCATTACCAGCAGCTTCAGAGACTGGTAGGCCTCTGCACGATCATCTGAGTAACAAAACACAAGAAGACGAATGAGTTTCCATTCAAAAGTAGATGGTAGTATGTTAAGGAATCTCATTTAAGGGTCACATTGACAGAAAGTATCACACTGAAAGATAACAATTACCACAAGGGATGATGTTATCAAAGAAGCCAGGCCTTTCTCTGTTGATGTTAGCGTACAAATCAATACGAGACACGGCTGTTTCCATCTGAGCACTGCTATAGAATCCTCTCGACTTCAGAATGCTCATGTAATTATCAACAACGGTGGGGATCAGCAAAATAAAACGGGGTTCAAAATACGTGTTCTTCAAGCTAAACACTCCCTGTAGTCAGAACAAACAAGCATTCTTAGAACATCTCCTTGGGCTATGCCTTTTAATAAAACTGAATGTTTTCACGAGGCCATACCTCCAGTTCCATATGCACACAGCAGGCCAGACCTTCACGAGCTACACGCTCAATCGATTCTCGAGACAGACCGTACCAATGGCCTCCAAACTGCATAGTCTGGACAAAATGGCCCTAAAAGTGAAGGAATCAATCAAAGAAAAATCACATTAAAAGAGGATACGACTGGAACAGTGCTCCATTTCCAAAGCTAAACGACCTGAACTCTCAACCTTTGAGTTGAAGTGGACCATCACTCTTCTTCACAAACTTTTGACCCCTGTGTAAAGCAGCACCTGTGTCTGTTCCATCACAATGTGGGGTTCCTTTGGTCAAGTATTTACTTGCAGAAAGCACCTCTTAAACGTGTTTCTATATCCCCAGAATCATAACATCAATGAAGAGGGTTTGACACGCAGAATGTTGTCGGAGGTAGGTCTGTAAAATGTGGGCTTTCTTCTGTGCTGGAGGCATAAGGTTATAATCACACATTTAAAGACAGCCTTCAGCCTTGTTCAATCAATAACACTGGACTTATGTGGCAACGCTTTACAGTCTGCTCTCTCTGAACCACCTGAGGGCCCTGGGAAAAATTCAGCCCCCCCTTCACATTTTTGGCATGTCATTGCTTTATAGACCAATAAGGCCCGAGGGAGATGCTTCTGCAGATAAACTGGCGTAAAACAGTTCATAGTCAAGGGTTATCGGAAATGGTGATGTAGCTGGGTTTTTTTAACGATACAAGCAGCTGAAGATTTTACCATTTGAATGTTCTTCTGAAATTCTTCTTCGGTGACAAAGTGATAGTCCAATCCATCTTCCTCGCCGAAATAAGGCCCTCGGGTGGTGTGACAGGCACTTAAAGAAACAACACGAGGAGAATTTTACAACACAATGCAAACCTTTTGGTTTAAAAAAAAATGTTTTGAGCCATGAAAGTGGTCTCTTCAGAGAGTTTTTAAGAGCTTTAATGTTATGCAAAATGAAATATTACATTTATCCAAAGCGACTTCCATTTGAAAGAATGAACACATTTTTTTTTGTCATTTCCAGCTTTCCCATTTGAACACATGACCTTTGCGTTTAGCGGAATGCTCTACCAACTGAGCCACAGGAAAGAATATAACTTTAAAAGAAAAAAATGGAAAAATGTCTAATGTTTAATCATTATCAGTTTATCTGATTTTTTTAGTGAAGGAGTATCAAGTTGAAACTTGGTAAGGGTCATCCTGAAGGTTCCCAGGGGTCAGGAACATTTTGATGTATTAGTAACTAAAGTATTAGTAAAAAAATACATTTTCCTCACACTTTGGAGCGTGCACACACTAACACGCACACGCACACACACACACACACACACACACACATAATTATTGACAACACCAACATAAGTTCACAACACGCAACAAACTGTAAATTTGAGAAATTATTATATACACACATGAAAACAAAACCACATTTCTGTTGATCTAGGAAAAATTTGTCTTTATCTTTGTGTATTTACCCTGAGAAGACTCTGCACGCAGTGGTTGGCCAATCACAGCGTCTGTTTTGTATTTAGTAGGAATGATGCATCACAGCTATTGTTTATTTTGATTTTAAATATAATGTGTAGGTTTCAAAAAGGTTATTAGCTTTGATATTTTTATGTTTTAAAATAACATTTCAAGAGTTATAATACATATTTTGCAAGATTGTTCAAATTAAAATGTGAGAAATTGGATGATCGTCAGACCCCAAATAGGTGGAAGTACAAGACCTGTGATATGGCTTGTGCTTTTCAAAATTCTCCCACAGCAAAAAGAGTGTTTTATGAGAGGTTCGCCTAGTTCATTAAATCAATTTCGTAACCGCTTCTTCCCTTTTGGGGTCATGAGGGTCTGCAGGATCTCCAGCGCACATTGGGCGAGAGGTGGTGAACACCCTGGACAGGTCGTCAATCCATCGCAGAGGTTCGCCTAGTTTTGTGATAAAATTTTCACATTATTTTGAGCAACACTTTTGACTGTTTTTCAAGTTTTAGAGACTTTTGCAGTAAAAAAATTACAAAATTTACTACTCAGAATAGTACATTTTGTTTATTGTGTGATGTAATTAAATATTTGTTATAGTAAATAAATATTTATGTAATTAAATATAAATATTTGTAAAAAGAAGCTGTTGGGGTTGCACTAAAAATATATATTTCAATCATTGCCACAAAAAACTGTTGTAAGGATAATGTACTAGAGCAAATTGTAATGTAGTAAAAAATGTGCCGACTTTTTGAGAGTTAAAGCAATCATGAACTGTATTTATTTTACTTAGAATAAAAATGTTTATAAATCCTTCACCCAGGTTCCTCTGTAAGTGGCCTACTCATTGTTTTTTATCCAACGCTCTTGTAATATGAAGACATCAGTGAATGTGAAAAATGCATAATAATTAGAAAGAAAAGTAAACAAAAATTGAAATACAGTGGTACCTCGAGATACGAATGCTTCAAGTTACGAAATGTTTGAGATACGAAAGGTCTCGCAGGAAATTTTTTGCTTCGAGATCCCAAAAAAATGTCAAGATAAGAAAAACTCCAACAGTTCTGCTCTATTATCCACTTGTTAAGTGTGACGTCGTGCTGCGCTTCCGGGTCCTCGCGCTCCATTCTCACATTGCAGACAGTGCTAAAGGGGGCTAATAAAATTCGCAAATATTCGCAAATAAAATATTCCAGTTTGGCGGAACTGGCGACACGTACTCTGTACCATAAGTCTCCTGTGAAAAAACCCTAACCCTTTTATACTTGAAAATGAAGTAAAATTATTTTCAGCAGACAGAGACTATTGTTACCCTTCTGTCTTTCCATTCTTCAAAATGGGAAACAGATGTACTATTCTAAACACTGGCTCACTCCTTGTTAACAACTCTTTTTTTCATAATAAGCTCTTATTGTAGAAGCGATATTTTGTTGCTGTTCAACCTTAAAATGAGCATCATCTTGTAATCCTCGTGTTAATCTTATTTCATTATTGCGCAGCTAGGGTAAAGCTACATTATCAAGGGTGAATCTTTGTGCATCGTTATCGCGGGAGGACCAATGTCAGTATGTGACATGTATCTGTAACTTTGTTGCTGACTCGACCAAAAGCAGATTTTTAATAAAACAAATACAATGTTTGCTGTTGCTCAACTCTTATATGTCAAAAGATCCAGCACTTTTTGGCTTCTGCGTTCATGACCCAATTATATTAAAACCGTTTTGATAACCAACAAACACTTACCCATAACCAAAATAGTCGCAGAAATCCTGACAAAGCTTGTGAGCAAGTTCCCTCTTACCACAAGCCTGAGGGCCAGTGAGAACAAGCATGGGGTATGGAGTATCCAGACTAGGCAAAGTGCTGCAGGAGCAACACAAATTTAGATTAGCTGAAAATTTTTTACACTTTTTACACTTGAAAATTTCTTTTACTTGTGTTTGGTGTGGAGGAAGGGGAATTGATGAATATAACGATCACAATTGTGAAAATAGTCTCACCTGTCATAAATAACCTGCGGTTGCATGAGTTGGTAAACTAAGTGGGTCATGTGATCTCTGGCAGCAACAACATCCATAGGAGGGTTGAACTTGTTCACAGCAGACACCTGCAGACACAGCATAAACCCGATTCAATGTTTATCCTGATTTGTGGAATCGAACAGTCCAATTCACAATGCATCCAATCGCAGAAGATCATTCTTTTACCTTCTCCTCTGCTGTTACAGTTTGTTTGTCCAGAAGGATGAGCTGCTGGAGGAGGAAGATTACTGCCAGTCTGTAGTCCTCATGGTCCTGTGAGAAAGCCATCAGCATCAGGACCTTCGGCCCGGTATGATCTGTGCACTGGGATCACTAGTAAGGAACTGACCTGTACTGGGTTGCTGAGGAGAATAATTTCCCTGAGCAAAGTCAGGTTGTGCAAATGTGCCGCCTCTTTTATGTCACTGATCTGATTAAACGGGAGTAAAAGAAAAAGAGGGATGTGATTATTGAATTCCTCAGTCTATAAAAAAATGTAGGTATTTATGCATCTACCAAAGGACGATACAAATGTACAAATGTTACACTTGAACATTTTACTTTTTAAATGGTTTTGATGGACATCACACATTAATAAAGTACCTGGCATATTTTGCCAACATTAAATTTGACCATACTCCACATGAAATGTCCATGGTTTGTTCAAACTATGCTACAGTTGCATGCTAGATGGCTAAAGTTTGTACTTAAATTTTGATGTCGCTTGTAAAAGTGGTAAAAATTGCTTCCATAAACTGGGATATGTACGTGCCAATTTGGTTACTAGGATAAACAGTCTGATTGCTATCAGTGGTGGACAAAGTACACAAACCAAATACTTGAGTTAAAGTAGAGATAGACTCTGTAATATATTACTCCAGTAAAAGTGCTCCATCCAGAGTTTCACTTGAGTAAAATTAAAAAAGTATTTGCCTTAAAATGTATTTAAGTATCAAAAAAAGTACTGTGATTTATTACGGCTATATCATTTTCCTTTTTGTCAAGACTCTTGCTTAAACAATATGTGAAAAGACTTAGTTAGTTAGATGGTCATGAGCTCAAAAGCTTGAATCTAAATTTCCTTTAGAACCAAATGAAAAAACTGGATTTCACAGAAGGCCTCTTTAAATTTAAGGTTTACTTTTATCATAGTTCAAGTTTAATAAAAAACCTCAAGTTTTCTTTTACTATATTGGACCTAAATGAGTAAATATAACCTGGTCTTATCAGATTACCGCAACAGAAACTAGCTCCGGGAGTTATTCATCTATTAAGTCACGGGCATCTCAAAAAACGCTGACACCAACTGCATTCGCGCTAGGTAGATTCCACCAAGTGCCAACCAAAACAATTCAATGCTGGCTTCACAAATTATCCCATCGACTGATATTCCAAAATGTATTTGAGTAAAAAGTAAGATATTTGACTTGAAATCTAGTGAAGTGAAAGTAAAAAGTCTCCCCAAATTAAAATACTTGAGTAAAGTATAGAAACTTGAAAAAGCTACTTAGATCACAAACTACTTCGCTACTGCCCACCACTGGTTGCTATGGAGGGATCAGTGACATGCTCCAATGTTGCATTTGTCACTGAAAGCTATAAAAACCAAGCCCCATGTCTTCATCATTTTCACAAGTTAAAAAAATTGGGTTGCCAGGGAAAACAGTTTGGTTGTTAGGGAGCTGTCAGTGATGTCATAAAATTGTAAGTTGTTACTATCATTAACATAAACAAACCTTCTCAGTGTTTCATCTTTAGAATATTTTCAGTGGTATTTTCCCATCAATTCACAATGGCCATTATAAGTCCACGGTAAATCTTTAATGCCTCCTGAGTCATTCCACCAAATGGGAGTCATTTGCTTTTTGTAACTTGTCCAAAAAGCAGATATACATAAGTATTCCAAATGAGTATTGATCCATCTTAAGTAATGTATTTAAATGTTTTATTAGATCTATAATCAAAATATGGGTGCAGTTTTTTCTTGTTACTAATCCTCTTGTTACTTGCCATAGAAATAACAAGTCTGAAAGTAACAGGACTGAGTTTTTAGCAAACATGAAGCAGGAAATTCTGCAAATTCAGTTACTTACCAAATAGATGCATTTTTACACTAAACTATTTAAATACAAATAATTTGAGTAACAGGATAGTATTTTTTAAATTACGCTCCAAAATGATCAAATATGTAAATAAGAAATTGAGAGAACTTTGTTCTTCGCATGGCCTTCTAAAGATCCAAGTGATGCAACTACCTGCTGAAAAACTGACATGGAATTTCCCCAGTTTTTCAGGAGGCGGATGAGTTACGGGAACAGGAATGAGCATGAGACTAAATGAATAAATCAGTAAAATGTGTGTGTTTTTTTTTATCTAAGAACCAATAGATATTTGTATGATATATACTATGTATGGATTGTATATTATATATGGATTCATAAATGCAAATCAAAGGTTCATTTGAAAAAGATCTTATATTTTATCTTTCAGTGTTTTATGTGAATTTGATCAATATTGTAAATTTCAAATTTGCAATAAGAATAGAATGTAGTACAGTTTGCTTATTAACAAAATGTATTTACG